TTTCTTGTGAGTTCTGTACCTGCCTTGGTGTTATTTTACTCGGGTGCGAGTCGATCCTTTGTGTCTTTAGCTTTTAGTCGTCTCATCAGTATCCGACGTGAGGCGTTGACTCGACCTCTAACGGTTTCTATAGCCGACGAGCATGAGGTTTTTGCTACTGATGTATTCCGAGGATGTGAACTAGAGATTTTTGGTATTGAGTCCCCGATAGATCTGGCGTCGATAACCATGGGTGATGTCTGTGTCATAGTGGGAATGGATTGGTTGAGTCGGTTTGGAGCTGTGATCGATTGTGATCGTCAGATGGTGACCATACGAGACCCTAGTGGGGGAGTGCTTACGGTATATGGAGAGGGTATCAGATCTGGATCAACTTTTCTGCTTTGCTGCCAGAGCGAGACAGAGTCTACAGCAGGGTTGTATGGGCTTTTTAGCGTATGTGATGGATACGCGGGTTGCTATAGAGAGGCCGAGTTCTATCTCCGAGGTTCCGATAGTGTGCGAGTTCCCGAATGTTTTCCCCGAGGAGTTGTTGGGTGTGCTTCCCGAGAGGCAAGTAGAGTTCTGGATTGATTTGGTTCCGGGCGCGGCAACTATTGCAAAGGCACCTTATCTCCTTGCACCGCCTGAGATGCAGGAGTTATCCTCACAGCTTCAGGAGTTGCTAGGGAAGGGATTTATCAGACCAAGTAGTTCATCGTGGGGAGCGCCGATCCTTTTTGTCAAGAAAAAGGATGGTTCACACCGAATGTGCATCGATTACCGGGAGTTGAACAAGCTGACGGTCAAGAACCGTTATCCACTACCGAGGATCGACGATCTACTCGATCAGTTGCATGGGGCATCTTGGTTTTCCAAGACTGACTTGAGATCTGGGTGTCATCAGATGAGAGTTTGTGAGGAGGATATACAGAAGACGGCCTTTAGGACTCGTTATGGACACTACGAGTCTGTGGTGATGCCTTTCGGGCTCACCAACGCACCGGCAACGTTCATGGATCTCATGAACCGGGTGTGCAGGCCCATGTTGGATCGTTCGGTGATCGTTTTCATCGATGATATTCTGGTGTACTCGAGGTCCAGAGAGCAGCACGAGGAGCATCTTCGGGAGATTCTTGGAGTATTGAGGGCTGAGAGGCTTTACACCAAATTCTCCAAGTGTGAATTCTGGTTACGAGAGGTCCAGTTCCTGGGACACCTCATTAATCATAACAGAATTTTGGTCGACCCGGCCAAGATTGAGGCAGTTATGCGATGGGAGGTGCCGAGATCCCCATCCGAGATCAGCAGTTTTCTTGGCCTGGCAGGTTACTACCAGAGATTTATCAGGGATTTCTCCAAGATTGTCGTTCCTCTCACGAGATTGACCAGGAATGGTGTTACTTTTGCCTGGGGGCCCGAGCAGCAAGCCTCATTCGAGACTCTTCGCCAGAGATTGTACGAGGCTCCAATGTTAGCCCTTCCCAAAGGAGTGGAGGACTTCGTAGTTTACTGTGATGCATCTATATCAGGGATGGGAATGGTTTTGATGCAGAGGGGACACGTGATCGCATATGCATCGAGGCAGTTGAAGCCTCATGAGACGAGGTATCCCACCCATGATTTGGAGTTGGGGGTGGTGGTGTTCGCCCTCAAGATCTGGCGCCACTATCTGTACGGTGTTTGGTGTAGCATATACACGGATCATAAGAGCCTGAAGTATCTTATGGATCAGCCCAATCTGAATATGAGACAGAGGAGATGGTTGGATGTAGTGAAAGACTACGATTGTGAGATCTTATATCACCCAGGAAAGGCTAATGTGGTAGCTGATTCCTTGAGCCGTAGAGCAGAGAGTGCTCCAATCTGAGACGTGTGCATGAGGATGACGGTGACGACTCCAGTCTTAGATACCATTCGAGAGGCCCAGGTGGAGGCCGTGAGACCAGAGAACCGTAAGAGAGAGCGAGTGATTGGGTAGATTTCTGAGTTTGAGACCGATAGTCGGGGGCTTATGACCTATCAAGGACGGATTTGGGTGCCGTATACGGGTGGAGCTCGGCGTATTTTGATGGAGGAGGCCCATCGGTCGAGATTCTCGATCCATCCGGGAGCCACCAAGATGTATTTGGACTTGAAGAGGGATTATTGGTGGGCCTGTATGAAGAGAGACGTGGCATGGTTAGTCGAGAGATGCTTGACCTGTGGAAGTGGGAACATATTTCCATGGATTTTATCACCAAGTTACCGAGAACCGCGCGAGGTGTTGACGGGATATGGGTGATTGTGGACCGGTTAACAAAGAGTGCTCACTTCCTTGCTATCAGTGAGAGCTCTTCTGCAGAGAAATTGGCCGAGATTTATGTGAGAGAGGTGGAGGCACGGCATGGAGTGCCAACATCGATAGTATCAGATCGGGATGTGCGATTTACTTCCAGGTTCTGGAATAAGTTCCATGAGGAGTTGGGTACCCGATTACACTTTAGTACCGCATACCACCCACAGACTGACGGGCAGAGTAAGCGGACGATTTAGACGCTTGAGGACATGTTGCGGGCATGTGTTATGGACTTCGGAGGAAGTTGGGACACCTATTTTCCCTTGGCTGAGTTTTCCTATAACAACAACCATCATTCCAGTATTGGTATGCCTCCTTTTGAGCTCTTATATGGGAGGAGGTGTGGGACTCCCATCTGTTGGGGGGAGGTGGGGCAGAGAGTGATGGGTAGCACTGAGATAGTGCTCAAGATGATCGAGCAGATTCAACAGGTCAGACAGAGGTTACTAACGGCCCAGAGTCGCCAGAAGAGTTATGTAGACCGGCGATGATCCGAGTTAGAATTCCAGGTTGGAGATTTTGTCCTCCTGAAGGTATCCCCGCGGAAGGGGGTGATCCGATTCAGGAAGCAGGGAAAGTTGGGTCCGAGATATATCGGTCCTTTCAGAGTGACTGCCAGAGTGGGGAAGGTAGCCTATCGTTCGGAGCTACCTACAGAGTTGAGCCAGATTCATAACACCTTCCACGTATCCCAGCTGAGGAAGTGTGTAGCCGACGAGACGGCAGTGGTACCGTTAGAGTACATTCAGGTTGATGCGAGCCTGAATTACATCGAGAGGCCGATAGCAATCTTAGATAGGAAGGTGAAGGTCTTGAGGAATAAAGAGGTGCCCTTGGTTCAGGTCCAGTGTCGGAAGGGGTCTGAGTGGACTTGGGAGCCGGAGTCCGAGATGCGCGAGCAGTACCCAGAGTTATTTCCAGGAGATGACGTCGATGGCGAAGTCTGATTATAGTGGGGGATAATTGTAACATCCAAAGACCAGTTATAACTTATAAACCCTTGTCTTATTGTAATTGTCAAGTTTGGGCCTTTAATTGAGAAAACGTGGTAAATGAGTACGTCGGGCGTACGCGTGTGTACGTTTAGCGTACTCATGTGCGTGTTTTGGACACGGAGGCCACCTAGTACGTTGGGCGTACCAGAGGGTACGCTGGGCGTACCAGAGGGTACGCTGGGCATACTAGGCTCAGGATGGAAACCCTAATTGAGGGGTGAGTCCCTATTTAAGGAACATGACGGCCTCATTTCTGGCCACCATTTCCAGATCTCAACCCTCTCAAGACCCTAATTTTCGTCCCTTGAGCTTGAGTGTCCATTTGTGAGCTTCTAAGTGTTCTTGTGGGATTTTTCGAGTAAAGAAGCAGCATTGAAGAGAGTAGAATTGGAGTCCAGGCTTTGGATCTGAGCTTTTCTGTTGTTGGAGCATCAATTGGAGGTATAAAGTTCAGAGCTTTCTCATCATTTTTTATTTGTGCATAATATGGTCAATTTTAGGGTTTTTGGTCCCAAAGCTTGAAGCTTTATGAGTTGTTGAACTCCAGAGCCTAATATCTGTCCCTTTGAGTGTTCTTAAGGGTGTGGATTCATAAAAATGAGGTATTGGACGTTAGAACCACCTCATGCATCAGATATGAACATTTTTGGATATAAAGAGTGAGTGTTTTTGTGTTTGGGACTTTCTCAGCCATGCAAAGGCTTAAAGTCACGAACTTTATGGAGTATGAGCCTTTAGGAAGTCCAGATCTGAGAGTAGAGTTATGGTCTTAACGGATTAAGACCAAGAGAGTGGAAAGAACAAGTATGAGATGTACGCTGAGCGTAATCCCAGTACGCGCAGCATAGGGTCGATGATTCCCGATGCATGCATGGCGAGGTAGTACGCCCAGCGTAAGGGGCTGTACGCCCAGCGTACACGCTGCAGTTGACTTTTGTTGACTTTTTGGGTTTTTGTCAATTTTTGGACTATAGAGGCCATGGAAGGGTAATGAGATGTATGTGATATTTTGGGGAACTCATTAAGCTTCGTGCTTACAGTTTTATGTGATATGTGTTTCAGGTACTTCTCAGGATCACGGGAAGGCGCCGACTTGATTGTACACACACACACATGCGAGATGGAGTTATGTTTTTGAGGATCCTGAATTTTATTCGAACAATTATGATCATGTGTTTTTGAATAATTTGACAAATGGGAATTTTTTTTAAATGTGTTGATGAGATTTATGTGAATTTAAAATGAAAAATTTGTTGCAAATTTACGGTGTTACAAAGGAATTCATTGTTATTACAATATAACAATTGAGCTATGCATTCTAACCCTAGTTTTGTTAATTTCGGAATTATTAGATGCCTCCTAGGGTTTCTCCTTTTGTGTTCAATACTTGCATGTGCAATAGTGAAAACATAGATCCTACAAATTAGGGTTGCATACACACATAGGGATTGTTTGTTATGCTCAAAACCCATCAGCTATAACTAGCTTCTAGCATATTAGAAATGTCTAAAAGTCCTAATTGTATATTCTCTGGGAGAATATCCTCCTCTCTGCCATCAGTAAACTCAATTACCTCGTTATCTTCCACTACATTGTCATCCTTAAGTGGACTTGACTTTGTTTTTTTTGTGAAGTTAACCCCTTGTAAAATTGCATCAATGCCTTGTTCAGTTTCATCATTTATTGATTTAAGCTTCTAACCAATACTGGATCCTAATACTGGATCCTACTTGCCTAAAAGTGTCACTACCTTGCATCACACTTGTTTGACTAGTACCTCCTTCTTGCATCATATGACCATCCTGAATATGAATTACTGGAACTTCATGCACAACACCTTCCTCCTGCACCACACCTTCTTCTACAACAGTAGGAACTTCTACAACTGGAACTTGTTGAACCACACTTTCACCCACATTATAACCTTCTTGCATGACATTTTCACCCATCACATTTTCACGCTCATCAGCAACTAGAACTTGTTGAACCACACTCTCTTGAGTACTTATAGTTGGAGTATCATTCCCAGTTTTTGCAGAACCAATCCTCCCATCACCTCTCCTTATGCACAACTTATTCCTAGGTACATCAATACTATTTCTCCTAAATCTTTTAGAACCTGACTGTTGCTTGCGAAACAGATGTAGTTAATGGGGGAATAGGATGTTTTCTTGGACTCATCCTTACTGTGTTATGTTTTCTTGGACTCCTCCTCACTATGTTAGATCATGAAGGTTGACTTGGGACATTTGATTGAGCAGGGCTTGTAGTATTGTTTTCTCTCATTCTCTCATTGAGTGGATGGTTAGGAACAGATACATGGGGGATGGGATGTTTTCTTGGCCTTCATGTCTTCTTTGGTGGGAGAGGAACATATTGTTTTCTCTCATTCTTACACGCCCTCTTGTTATGACCATATTCCAAACAATTGCCACATCTGGTAGTTCTTGCAACCTTGACTTTTGTTGTTGAGAACTTGCTCTCCTTCTCACTGGCATGCCTCCTTCTTTTGGTAGCAGACCTACCAGGAATCCTCCCACACATTGGAAGCAATGGCTTAATGTATTCACTTTGGGCCCAAAGATTGATGTCATTAACATGTTCAATGTTTGTTGAGTAACATTGCCTAAATTTCTCTATAGAGAAGTATGCATTGATGTATACATCAGGTGTTTGATGGATAAAATTAATTGTTGCATTTTCATACACACAAGGGATGCCAGCCAAATCCTACAGCCTATATGAATAGGTCATATCATCTAAGTCCACCTTGTAACTGTCACACCCTCTTCTGGCCTCAAACACATGTCCTTGAATATGAATTATTCCCCAAAACCTACAATCAAGTATCTAGTTAGTAAAATTAATTAATGATTAAGACAAGTTTTAGAAAGCATAAAATAGTACCTCATATTTTTCCCAAATCCATTCATTTTTTTAAAAATTTGTGGACAAACATTTGAAGTCCTCTTTTCACTTTCCTCATTCATGTGAGCAAATCTGTCCATGATATAAATATGTATCTCTTCAAGCATGGTGATCAAATGTTTTTTCCTAGCATCCAATATTATTGAGTTGAAGCACTCTAAGATCCCATTCTCAACTGCTTCACATGCATAACCTAATCCAAAAAAGGCTCTACACCATGTTTTTGGTTGTTTTGACATCAATTATTGATATGCGGAAGGGCTCAAAGTCTTGATGCTTTCCATATGCCTCTTGAAGGCACCTTTTGTGCAACTTATAGAGGCAGCCCAAAACAACTTCTTATACTCCAAACATGTGAAAGCCTTTCTAAAGTTGGTATAAATGTGCCTAGCACAATTCCTGTGTTCAACATGAGGCAGTATATCTTTCACAGATTCAAGCAGACCCTACAAGACAATGATTTAATTAGTTTAATAGAGGACAAGTATGTAATAAGATAATTATGAAATTAAGTAGAGGACAAGTATGTAAACTTTTGCCTTGTGTTGATCTGATATCACTACCAAACCTCTTCCACCATGAAGATCTAAATCATCCCTTAGAAGCTCAAGCAACCATGTCCAATAAGGCTTATTCTCAACATCCACAATAGCCCAAACAATTGGGGAGACCAGATTATTGGCATCTCTACCTATGGCTATCAACAACTCACCCATTATTGATCCTTCAGAAAGCACCCATCCAAACAAGTAACTCTTCTACACCCTCTTTTCCAGCCTTCACATATAGCTTTGAAACCAATATAAAACCTATGAAAATAGTTTATCCCATCTTGATTGATAATTACACACACCTTACATGTAGAGCCTAGATTGGATCTTAACAACTCTTGTGCATAATCCCATATTATGGCATAATGTTCAGTCAATTTACCTTCAATTAGCTCCTTGGACCATTTCTTTTCCCTACGAAATTGGCCAATAGACACAACACACCTAAACCTTTATCTGATGTCAGTAATCATCTCTTTAAGCTTCACCTTAGGCTTATTTGAATTTTCAGTTATGTAGTGTCTACCTATACATTCAGGAGTAACCATAGAGCTAAGTTTGAGCTTCCTACCACAAACATGAGTAGCTTCTAAACTTGATCTGAATAGATATTTCATTGAACATCTGTAACGCCCGCATATTCGGGCTAGTCAATTTAGAGACAATAAGCGTCGAAAATGACTTTTTGATAGAATATTATTTATAATAAATCATCTTAACTAATTTATAGTATATGTCACAACGGTTCCGTACATATAAAGAATGCTGAAATCCGAGTTATAATGAAGAAGTTATGACTTGTCGAAGTTTTGTGGCAAAACCGGCACGACACCAGGAATCGTAAAAAGTGAGATAATGATAAAATACTTTTTAGCGTTAGCGATCTAAACGTAGGTCGTGGTATACATTAAACCGAGAGTGTGCATAAAAAGAACGTCCAAATCTAACTTCGTATGATTAAGTTATGTTTTTTCTAAGATTTAGCACAGCAGTGCACAACCCGAAATTTGAATTTTAGATCGATACATTTTTAGCCGACACAACCTAAATGAGAATTGAATATCTCATTAATAGGAACTCAACGATATAAAGACAGAAAAAAACGGACGTCAGATGACAAAGTTATGAGTTTTTAACGGACTTTAACTGTCTAAGCCTGTCAAAATATACCTTTAAAAATAAATTCAAAATTAGATGACAGAGTCTAAATGAAAGTTTTAGATCCCGTTGATACCTATGCGTGGATATAAAGAACGTCAAAAAAACAAAGCTCGTATACGACAGTTAGATAATTAGTTTTTTTGGAGTAATCTGCGAGTGACACGGGGCACAATCCTAACCATTACTTCCTCCCCACACCTTGTCACAAGATGGTGACACTTGGTACGCAACACGACGAGTTGGAGCCTCAGAACTCACCAAGTTGAGCCAATTCCTAGCCTATAAATAGAGGCGCAAATCTTCCATTTTCTTCACACTTCTCCCATTCTTTTTCTCTCAATTACTTCTCTAAACCCCTCCCAATCCCTAGTAACCCCCAAGTGCTAGACGAAAGTTCTGGAGTGCCAGAAGGCTCCGAGAAGAAGAGCTTTCGGCTCGGGAGTTCTTCCCCCACAAAGCCCGGTTCTTAGCCAAACCTCTTAGTAAGTGAATTATGCTTACCCTACTTTAAGTATAGCTTATGTTTAAGTTCAATATAATTATTTATTAACTTACAAACAATATATATATATATATATATATATATATATATATATATATATATATTATAAAATATAATATACAAAGTGTTATTATAATATCTTTTAACTACTTGCGGTACAGGGAATCTGGTTTAAAGGGTCGCATAGGGTTGTTGGATTTTCAGATTGCTATAATGCAAAAATGGTCATGCCCTCTAGTGTTTCATGTCTGGCCCTGCCTGTACATAGTAGTTGAAGTATTGTTTAACACTTATAAAACAATAATGCTCGTAGACCTTGAGCTAATTAGTCGTAATAAATATTAGACTAAAACTTAGCAATAATAATGTTAGGTTTCGTCGAAGGAAAAGACGATTGTTAGAAGCGAAGCGTTGTCCGACTTTCGAGTCATCACTTTAACAAGTGAGTGTATAGTCCCGTTCATGAACATGATTTTAATACAATTATTGATTAAAGTATTAAATATATGTTTGTGTGTGAAATATTTGTTATTACCTGAAATACGTGTTAAGATTATATCTGATAATATATGATGATTTAGGATACAGAACAAACCTAAATTAATTGAGATTGATATCGGGTAGTATCTCCTTATGTGTGTGGGTGAGATATCCACCGAGGGTCGAAATTTAAGATTTGACATTGATCCAAGAGCATGGATTAGGCATAGTCATTTGTCCTTAGTCCGAGAGTATGGAGAGTACATAGCTATTTATCATTAATTCGGGATCATGGATTAGACATATATTTAATTGTCCCTAGTCCGAGAGTATGGAATGGGCATAGTTATTGATCTGAGAGCATGGATTAGTCATACTTGATCCGGGAGTATGGATTAGGTAAAGAGGTTAATTTTAGATTCGAGAGTATAGATCGTGTTGTTGTGAGGATCGATGGGGTGGGTAAAATTGCTTATATGAGGTGAAATTGTATATATAATGAGTGTTCTAAAACATATATATATATATATATATATATATATATATATTATATATATATATATATATATATATATATATATATATATAACATTGTGGGATTGAAATCCCTATGTACTCACCAGGTTTCCCAACCTGATCCACTCAGTTTATTTGTATCACAGGTGTCGATACGAAGCTACATTACACTGGGAGATTAAAGGACATGTAAATCACTTGTGTAAATGAATGTAAGGTCTGTTTATGCTTATGGTTTTGTATTGACGATGACATCCCAAAGTTTTTATATAAACAAAATACATTTCTTCGGAAATATATTTATCATGTTTTTCTGGGAACAAATTCCGCAATATTATTCTTTAAAATGAATACTTTGATTTTCAAATAAGCATAAATAAAATTTTTAAAATGACCGTGAATTTGGGGATGTGACAGTTGGTATCAGAGCATTAGTTTAAGCGAACTAGGAGTCTTAGGAAATTTCTAGACTTAAACTTAGAATGTTAAGCGATGATTGTGAGATGAGTGTCTGCTATATTTACGATGTATGCCTGAATAGACACGAGCAGTAGCTTATTTTAGGAAAGATGCCTAAAATGCTTTTATATGCTAAATGATTTATGTTATAGTTATAAAGATGCCTTATATGCTATTATTTGATCGGATCTATTGTCTATTGTCGACCAGATCTGGAAATTTTATGTGTTCAGATTTCTAAACGTTTAATTACGGTATTAGAACTGTCATGTAACTTTTCGGAGTGATAAGGAGATTGATACATCTATCGGAAATAAAATTTTCCTATCTTAATTCTCGTCACTACACACCAAACGTATGATTTGGTGTATAGATCGACATGGTGATAACTCGAAGCGGATTTGGGAAACGGTAACTCGCAGCCTGAGCCACGAGTGATTGAGCATGCACCATAGGTAGCAGCTGCACCCGAGCCAATCACGATGCAGGAGTCCAAGCAATGATTCGGGCTATGATGGTTGAACAAAGGGAGGAGATGAGGCAAATGTTGCTTAATAGGGATGAACATTTGTGCCTATTGTGCAACCCGAACTAAATGAAGAACTGTCAAAGAGGGAAATTACAGCCGTACTATGAGTCAAGTTGGACCCTGAGCGGTTAGGGGAATAACCCGAGCAGAAGGATTGACAGGGATAGACGCATGTATAAGAACTTCTTGGGTGCCAAACCACCAAGTCTTTCTAGAAGCACAAAGCTAGTGGAAATTATGAACTGGATCTCTGGAGATGGAAATGGTATATGAAAGATGTAACTGTAGCGACAAGCAAAAGACCGTCTTTGCAGTCAGACAACTAAAGACCGGAGTTCTAAGTTGGTGGAAGTTGTTGGCAGATACAATGCCATGGGGAGAACCCATGCAGATGTATTAGGAAGCATTCATGGAGCGG